AAAAAAAAAAAAAAAAAAAACGTTAGAGGATAACCTGGTGTATATATGAGACCCTGCCTGGGTGTTCCACTGGACGTGTCTTGGGCTTGAATCCATTCCCAGGCTAGACCCACTGGACTTGTTGAGGCCTGGGAACGAGGCCAAGGGCAATTCTTGGTCCAGGTCTGAGATCCTGGGAGGGCCAGGCGAGGGTGGAAAGGTAAGAGGCAATGGACTTCGGAGAAGCAGTTCTAGAATTACATTCCTTTGCAGTTTCCTGTCCTGTCCTGTGCCTCTGTCCTGTGCCTCAGTCTGCAGGAAGGGCATGACTTCCTCCCTGGTGCCAAGTGGTCTCACAGAAACTAAGGAATGTTCTGAAACTCCCGGCCTCAGTCGGTGACATTACTCTCTGAATTCTGGTGGCTCCACCTTGCCGTCCTCCTTTCTGGAGCCTGAGCCGCCTCCGTTTTTATTTAGTTACTTTGAGATAGGCTCTTGGTCCCTGTGGTCCAGACTGGCCTGGCCCTCCGCAGCTTCCGCTCCAATACTCCGGAGCCGGGACTACAGGCCTGCACTACCCCACCCTCCTGAGATTCCCACAGCTGAGTGAGTTGTAGGTGAACATTCTACCAGCTGAGCCACATGCTCAGCCCTGGTGTTTTGTTTCTTGAGACAAAGTCTCATGTAGCTCAGGCTATACTCAGACTTACTATGTAGCCCAGGGTGACATTAATCTCCCAGTCCCCCTGCCTCAGTTTCCCATGTGCATTCACCACCTTCCTGGCTACATCTAATGACTTGAAAGTACATTCTAGACGCAGTCTCACTTTCTGAGGATGGCTTTTCCTCCTGGAGCTGTCAGGGGTCTCAGGAGTTGAGGGACGGGCTCTGGCTTGTTTGTAGGCCTGGGGGGGGGGTCTCACCGCTTTCTGATGTGGTGGAACTGCAGGGGTGTCTAGTATGTCCCTGCGGATGTGACCCTCCACCTCAGTGCTTTTAGCTGCACAAGAGGAACAGACAGTAGCAGTGGCCAGCACACCCTGGGCAAACATCAGCACACCTTTAACTTATTCCAGTGGTTCTTCAGTGGGATTCTCTTTGTGGGGGTGGGGGGATTGTTGTTGTTGTTTGAAACAGGGTTCCTCTGTGTAACGGCCCTGGTTGTCCTGGAACTCGATTTGTAGACCAGGCTGGCTCTGCTTCCCAGGTGCTGGGATGAAACGCATGCACCACCACTGCCCGGCTGATTTTGTGTGTTGTAGCCTGGCTGACCTGGAACTCACTTGTAGATCAGGTTGGCCTTCAACTCAAAGATCTGCCTACCTCTGCCTCCCGAGTGCTGGGATTAAAGACCTGTTTTGTTTTGTTTTTCTGAGCAGAGAAAACATACATTTATTAAGGAATAATGAGAAAGAACCCCCAAGGGTGAGGAGTCCAAGACAGGAACACTCTTCTTTAGTGTTTTTGAAATAGGGTCTATGGTAGCCCAGGCTGGCTTCAAGCTAAGGGTGACTTTTCCAACCTTCACCCCTGCTTCTGCCTTGGTGCTGGAATGACAGGTGTGTACCACCATGCCTGCCTGGCCTATGTAGCCCAGGCTATGCTTAAAATTGCAGTTCTCCAGCCTCAGCCTCCTGGGGCTGCACTAGAGCAGTGTACCACGCGGGCTTCTGTGGCCTTTGCTTTTCTAGTTACAATGTCAACACATCTCGGGTTATCTTCAGGCAGAAGAGGGCTGGCAGCCACACGGTGCGGGTGGGACCGAGGCTGTCTGGCTGTACGTATACCAACAGAAGTTCTAGTCAACGTTGGTTCTCTCTGTGGAGCCCCACCCACTCTCTGGGGGCTCATTTTTCCTTGTTTATTTTTGTGTGCATTGGTGCTTTGCCTGCATGTGTGTCTGTGTGAAGGCATCTGATCCCCTGCAACTGGAGTTACAGACACTTGTGAGCTGCCATGTGGGTGCTGGGAACTGAACCTGGGTCCTCTGGAAGAGCAGCCAGTGCTCTTAACAGGTGAGCCACCTCTCCAGCCCTCACTTTCCCTTTTTAAACCTACGTTCTCTTTGCTAAAAATAAATAAAACAAAACAACCAAACCAGACACAGTTGCTTGTGCCTGAAGTCTTTGTACTTGGGAGATACAGCCGCTCCCTAGAAACCCTGTGAGGGGCGGGGTGCAGCTCAGGGTTAGAGTGCCCATCCAGACACAAGACCTTGGGTTCTATCTCCAATACCACAGGAAAAAAAAATTTTTAAGCCAATTTATTTTTATTTTTATTTATTTATTTGGTTTTTCGAGACAGAGTTTCTCTGTGTAGCTTTGACGCCTTTCCTGGAACTCATTCTGTGGCCCAGGATGGCCTTGAACTCACAGAGATCCACCAGGCTGCTTCCCCCGAGTGCTGGGATTAAAAGTGTGCACCCCCACCGCCCCACCCTTTTAATTTTTCTTAACTTATTTTATGTACTCTGTCTACATGCCATGTTTGCCCTGGTGCTAGCAGAGGCCAAATGAGGTCGTGTGGCTCTTCTGGAACTGGAGCTGAAGATGGTTATGAGCTGCCGTGTGGGTGCTGGACTCCAACTCTGGTCTTCTGGGAGAGTAGTCGTCACTGCCAAACCATCTCTCCAGTCCAGTTTTTTTTTTTTTTTAAACTGAGAATATAACCAGGTGGTGGCCCACACCTTTAATCCTAGCACTTGGGAGGCAGAGAAAGAGGCAGGTGGGGATCTCTGTGAGTTCGAGGCCAGCGTGGTCTACAGAGAGAGAATTCTAAGACAGCCTGGTCTACACGGAGAAACCCAGTCTTGAAAAACAAAAACAATAACAATAAAAAGCAAATACTGAGAATACTGTCGTGGTGTCTTTTTTGTTGTTGTTGTTGTTTTGTTTTTGTTTTTTTTTTTTGAGTTTTTTCGAGACAGGGTTTCTCTGTGTAGCTTTGCACCTTTCCTGGAACTCACTTGGTAGCCCAGGCTGGCCTCGAACTCACAGAGATCCACCTGCCTCTGCCTCCTGAGTGCTGTGATTAAAGGCGCGTGCCACCACCCCCCGGCCTGTCGTGGTGTCTTTAAACAGATTTATTTGTTTTATCATAAGAACAGGAGACATTGGCTTGTCTGATTCTGGGCCTGAAGCTGTCAGAAGCAGCCTACGTGGCACACAGGTGGCAGACCCTCCTAGGGGTGAATGCAGGCTGCTAGCTTGGCACCCACACACACACTCCAGCATCTGCCTCAGCAGGAAGAAGTTCCTCCTGGCAATTTGGTTTTTTTTTTTTTTTTTTTGAGACAGGGTTTCTCTGTAGCTCTGGAGCCTGTCCTGGATCTCGCTCAGAAGCCCAGGCTGGCCTCATACTCACAGAGATCCACCTGCCTCTGCCTCCCAAGTGCTGGGATTACAGGCGTGGGCCACCACCGCCCAACCCTCCTGGCAATTTGTATTGGCAGCCCCAAGGCTGCCATCAAAGCAGGTTGTGAGCCCCGGAGGAAAGGCACCTAGGATGAATAGCCTAAGAGTTGATAGAATCACGCACGCGCGCGCGCGCGCACACACACACACACACAGTGACCACCTCCATTTCCAAGTATTGTGAAAAACAGGGTTCATTTTTAATGTGACAAAAGAGATCCCCAGGGAGGCATTCTTCTTGGCTCTGTGCAGTTAATCTCCTGGCACCAAGGCTCAGCAGCTTCCAGGGAAGAGCTTTTCTTGCAGGATTGCTGGTGGGCTGACTTGGCCCCCAAGTGGGGTGGGCCTCTATGTGACCAGGGCAGGGTTAGGGGAAGTCACTGTAGGGCAAGCGGAAGGGGTAGAGTGGAGTGTATCTTGAATCCTGCCAGAGTAGCTTGTCCTCCAGGAAGGCGACGGAAGGCAGGGTGAGGACCAGAGTCTGGTGTTTGAGCATGCTGTACACATTCAGGCCTGGGATGTGAGGGCATGGTCAGGGTGTGGCTGCCCTCTAGTTCAGCCCCAAGTCCATCTTATCTGAAGCCTGAGCCCTTGCCCTCCTCTGGTGTACACTGCTGGTCTTCAGATCTCACACCAGCGGCTGAGGAACTACCTGCCTTCACATCTGCCCAGCATTTGACGATGACCCCCCCCCCACATTCCAATGAGGAGGACACAGGAAGTGGATAAACACACTGTATCACTGGGAGACCAGAGTCAGCAGGAGGGGAGGAAAAGGAGAGCTCAGGTGCTCATGCTCGCCCTCTGCAGGCTCTTCGTGGAAGAGACGGACAGATGTGCTTTAACAGAGTGCTTCTTTCAGAGGGCACCACTGGAGCAGCTGAAGGCGGGAGGATTGGCCCTGGACCCTGGCTTCCACCCCAGCACCATAACTAAATGGTAAACTCTTGGACACGTCATCCAGTCATGTGTGACAGGTACAGGGGATCTGTGCTACTGGGCTGAGAGCTGGCCCATCACTCACCGACTGCAGGGATCAGGTTGAAGCTCTTGAGCCCAGAGGTGGCCTCCACCACGTTCTTGGGCATCTCCTCATGTTCCCTGGAACAGATGGAGGCTGCGAGTGAGCCTGGCAGGACACAGGAGACTTGGCCCCCCTTGCCCACCTTGCCCTGTGCCCTCACAAGTCTACAAGGAGCACGGAACTCCCCCAGTGGCGGTACTGGGCCAGCTCTGTCAGGTACTGAGGGTCTGCAGTGGGCAGCTCCAGGGAATCCACGATGTGTAGGTCATCCTGCGGAGAAAAACGGGATTTTGAGCTCTGTGCTAGGACCCCCAGGTGCCAGCCGTTTCCCTCCCAGCTCTACTGTACCATACCTGCATCAGCTTGACAGTCAGGGCCACCTTGAGGCCCAGTGCCCGCACTTTCATGGGCAGCATGTAGTAGTAACTTGTAGGGCCCCGGGGACCATGGGCTACGCCTCCTGCAGGGACAGTGCTGTGTCAACAGGTGCTGGTCGCTGCTAGGCTGGGAGGTCAGAAATCAGCCTGATGCCTGAGACCAAGTGCTGGAGCGGGCGATGAACAGTGGCTGGAGGAGCTGGGGGTGGGGGGCAGATCTCACTAGGTACCATGGGAAGAGTGGGAAAGAGACTGGACAGGAGGTGGGGAGGAGAGGGCCTGTGAACATGCATGAGGGTAGTCATCCAACTCTGGTATAAGAAACTGAAGTAGAAAGAGTTCAAGACCAGCGTGGGATGCACAGCAAGACCCGGTCTCAAAAGAAAAAAATTAACAACCAAGTTATCAAAAGGAAGGGGAGGGTTAGGGCTGTGGCTTGGCTGGAGAGGGCTTGCCCTGCGTGCACAGAACCTTGGGTCCACCCCCAGCACTGCAGGAGCTCTGTCCCTCACTGCTCAGCATGCCTGGGTTCCAGTGCATGGAACTGTCCCAGTGGGCTACTAACCTGGGGACTCAGGTGTGTCTTATCATGGCAGCTGTGGGTACCTGTGGAAAGGGTCTCTGGGACTCGGGCTCCACTCACCTCCCCGCCATAGGGGGGAACGGATGCTGCCATGCCGGGCACGGCCACTGCCCTTCTGTCGCCAGGGCTTGCGGCCACCACCACTCACCTCAGCCCTGGTCTTGGTCTTGGCGTAGCTCTGTTGAGTACAAAGAGAGTGGGGTGGGGCCCAGACCATGGCAGTGAGGACTGTCAGGGGACAATGTGGAGCACCTAGGGAGGGATGGGGGAGGAAAGGGACGGAGCCCCTCCCTTTCGAGGTAGGGCCATGCTGCCCAGTTCACAGGAGCACCGGTCATTTCTGAGCACTAGCCTGCTGGACTGAGACCAAGGCCTCCCTCTACAGCCCAGGCTGACTCTGAACTTTCAATTTCCCCTCCTCAGCCTGTGGAGTGCTGCATTACAGGCAGGGCCATCACACCTGGGTCCTTGTTGATTCCTGAATGTTCTTGGCACAAAACTCTTTGCTCTCACTGACTAAAGGGTAATAATACTAGGCTCTGTGTGGTCTTTTCCACAGACTAGTCACACATGCTGTCCCCATTAATGCCCTGTCAGCTAGTTAAGTCGGGCTATAAGTAGAGTAAGTTCAATGTCCCTTTATGTCTGGAGCATGGCTCAGCAGCAGAGCACCTGTCTACATCTCTAATGAGGGGCTGGTGATGTGGCTTAGTAGTAGAAATTCCCAAGTGAGAGTGTGGTGGCTTATTAACAGAGCAACTGCCCAACTTTTGAGGCTCTGGGCTCATTACCCAGTACACAGCATTAAGTACCCAGTACCCAGTACCCAGCACTAAGTACCTCTCTCTGGAGAGAAGATGTGTGCCCAGGCTAACTACTGATTTTTGTTCACCTCTCCCACTAGACTGTGAGTCCTCAGGGGCAGGGATGTGCTGAGTTGCAGATCCCCTAACATAATACCCACAGTGATGGGTGCCGAGGCATGATCTGAGAAGCGACCTGCCTCTGAATGGTACGGGCAGATAAAGCCTGAGGCGGGCTGTTTCCAGAGAGCACTCTCACGGGCCTCGGAGCCCAGTGGGGAGCTCTGCCATGCTACTCAGGACACTCACGATTCTCTTGAAGTTCTTCTGCCAGGTGGCAACCTGGTGCAGAATGTCCAGCCTGGAAAAAGGGAAGGGAGACCTAAGAGGGACACCCCAATTGAATCCCCCATACCTGCACCCCGGTAAAGGAAAGCTGGCTCTTCCTCTGGATGTTCAGGACCCTAAGTCCTCCCCTGACCACAGCTGACACCACCTCAACTCAGCAGTCTATGTGCCACGGCGTCCAGCCAGGCCTGGTGGCTATGCCTGACCTCCTGGTATTCAAGAGGTTACGGCAAGAGGATGGAAAATTAAAGGTGCTTCATGGTAAGACTCTGCCTCTAAAAACCAAAGAGTGGAGTCAAACATCAGAACCTTTGTACCTGTATCTCACTGAAATGCTCTGGTCTTGGCTGGTTTCAGCAGGTTCCAAGCTCAAAGTACCAAAGAGGTGTGTGTGTATGTGAGGGGAGGGAGGCTGGAGAGATGGCTCAGTGGTTAAGAGTACTTGCTGCTCTTGTAGAGGGGGTCCAATTCCTGGCACCCACAACAGCACACAGCTGGTTTAACTCCAGTCCTGACCCCTTCCCTTCTGGGCCTCTGAGAGCACTGCACACATGTGGTGCACATACACATTCAAAAAAAAAACACTTTACACATAAAATAAAAATCTCCCTTTCTCTCTTTTTGGTTTTTCAAGACGGGGTTTCTCTGTGTAGTCCTGGCTGTCCTGGATCTCACTCTGCAGACCAGGCTGGCCTCCAAGTCACAGAAATCCACCTGCCTCTGCCTCCTGAGTGCTGGGATTAAAGGCGTGCACCACCACGGCACAACTAAGTCTGGTCTTTTTATCAGTCATTTTTGAAAATGTTAATTCATGTATTTTTATTTTTACATCTGGTGTCATATAGCTCGGGCTGGCCTGGAACTCACTTTGCAACCTTGACCGTTAATTTCTCTATCCTATCTCAACTCTCACAGTGCTGGGATTGGAGGTGTGGGTTCTTAGGACCGTTGTCTGCAATAGTGGAAGGGAACCGGGGCCTCGTGCATGCTAGGCAAGCCCTCCAACTGTGCACATCTACTGCTCTAGTAATCAACGTTTCCAGAGAATTTCCTGTGTGCTACATTAATCTACCTAGTCATCACTCAACTTCCTGAGGACGGATACGAGGGACCCAGCACACGAGAGTAAGGCAGGACGTAACAGCTCCGGGTGGCTGTAGGGCTGTGTCCTTCGTCCTCCCGCCCCGCGGCAAAGTCCTGCCAGTGCAGCCTGCACTCACCGGGGCGCCGTGGCAAACACATCAGGGTGCAGCTCTGCCAGGCCGACGCGCTCCGGCTCGAAGCCTCGCAGCGACTCAACCCAGGCCTGCACCGGGCGCCGGTGCGCCGGGATCCGAAGCTCGCACTTGCGCAACACGGGATCTAGGAGGCCTGGGGGTCGGGGAATGAGTGAACAAGGGTCAGGAACAAAACCCAACACTTCCGGTGCATCCTGCCCAGCTCTGTGCCAAGATGTGATCCCGGCGCCTCACCCACGTTATCCCCCGGCTCCGAGCTCTCGGCTGGCCGCGTCGCGTCCTCCGCTAGCGAGCTGAGGACCTGGAAACGATGGGCGTTTAGTTAGGGGTGCTCCCCGAGGGTTCTCAACCTCTGACCTCCGACCCTGACCTCAGCCTGGTCCTACCCGGGAGCCAGAAGGTCGAAGCCAGGCCTGCGAAGCGGCCCGGCACAACCGCAGCATCGCGGCGCAGATCGCACAGCGGAGCTCAGCCCGCCGGACGCTCGCGGCGAGCGCTGATGACGTCAGGAACGGCGACTCCGCGGCCCTCCGCTCCAGAACCCGCAGCTTTGCGGAGGCCCCCGGGAGCCATGAACAGCAGGAAGCCCCGCCCCTTACGAGCGCGGCGCCGGAAGTTAACCAATGAGGTTGCTCGGCCCCAGAGACGCGCTTCTGCTTCAGCCAATGAACCTCAAGGATAGGTGGAAGGGGAGCCGACACGCCCAGAGCTGGGTGGTACCTGAGCAATAAGCGTTCATTTTTATTTTAATATTTTTTTTATTTTTTGGTATTCTGAGACAGGGTTTCTCTGTGTAGTTTTGGTGCCTGTCCTGGATCTCGCTCTGTAGCCCAGGCTGGCCTCGAACTCACAGAGATCCGCCTGGCTCTGCCTGGCCATGGTCAGGCAATTTTTTTTTCCAGTGTTAATCTTTTGGTTGACTTTGGATAAGCCTCTCGTGCCACGCTCCTTATTTTGACTACAACTTTTCTGTGTCCAACTTCCCCCCTTTTACCGTTATTGATATGAACTGATGTTTGTCTTTTAGAGTCAGGGTCCCACTCCTGACTAGCTTGGAACTCACCTTTTAGCCCTGGGTAGCCTCGAACTCACAGAGATCCACCTGATTTTGCTTCCTAAATACTGAGATTAAAGATGTGTGCCAGACTAGGGGTAATGATGTACGCCTTTAATCCTAGCACTCGACGGGAAGAGGCAGGCAGATCTCTGTGAGTTCGAGGCCAGCCTGGTCTATATAGTGAATTCCAGGACAGGCAAAGTGAGATCCTATCTGGAAATTAGAAGGAGGAGGAGGAGGAGGAGGAGGAGGAGGAAGAGAAGAAGAGTGTGCCAGAAGACATCTGGCTTCTCTTCTTTGCTGTTTCAATATATGAGTATTTTAATATTTTAAATTTATTTTTGTGTATGAGTGTGTAGGTCAGGATAACTCTAGGGAGTTGGAGCTTTACCTTCCACCTTGTTGATTAAACTCAGGTCCCTTGGTTTGGCAGCAAGCCACCTAACCTGCTGAGATTTCTTTTCTTTTTTTTTAAACAAGGCGTCTCTGTGTAGCTCAGGCTGACCTTGAGTTGAGAGTCTACCTCTCTCAGTTTCTGGAGTGCTGGATTGCCAGTGGCACACACCACTGTGTTCACATGCTCAGAAAAGCCTAATTTTATGTTTTCCCCCCTTTTGGTGTGTGACAGGGTCTGATGCAGCTCAGGCTGGCCTTGAACTCTATGTAGTCTAGGATAACCTTGAGCTTCCGATTCTCTTGCCTCCACCTCCACAGTCTCCTCTTTCCAATCCTGAAGACTCCAGGCAGAAACTTTCAGTATTTCTTTTCTTTCTTTTTTTAAAATTTGTCTTTATTTTGTGTGTATGGGGCTTTGGCTTGACAGGTATATCAGTGTTTGGTTGTTGCCCCTGAAGGCTAGAAGAGAGGGTATCAGATCCCCTGGACCTGGAGCTATGACATGGACATCACTGCCATGTGGGTGCTGGGAATTGAACCCAGGTCCTCTGAAAGAGCAGCCAGTGCTCTTAACCGCTGAGCCATCCCTCCAGCCCGCTTTCAGTATTTCTTAGGCCTATTTAGATTCTCCAGGGCTGGCTATCACCCTCTGGAATACCTCCCGTCAATGCTGTGTAATCCCCACCACCACCGCCACCACACACACACACACACACACACACACACACACACACACACACCTAATCCAGGATCATGCCCCCTGTCACACCTTCCAGGACTCTCCCAGGAGGGGGCCGGGAGTCATGGGATGAACAGATCTGGATCACCTCACTAAGGTCTTCTCCAAAAAAATAATCTAAATGATCAAGGTTATAGTATTGTCTCTTTCCACACTTGACCTTCAGAGGGCGCTGAGAGCCCACACATGGCTCACCGCTGTCCACTGTGAGGTCTGGACAGAACTTAAGACATGGAACAAGTGGTCTCTGGGCCAACCACCTTTTCATCCCCTGGGTAATGGGGAAATAGACTTTGGTGAAATGAGGGATACAAAGGTGGGATCCCTAGCACTGGATGAAAACTCAATAACCAGCATTGGTAATTCTGACACTGCGGAGCCTTGTGATCAAAGAGACAAGAAAAGACCAAGGCAGAGGCAGGTGGATCTCTGAGTTCAGACCACCTTGGTCTACATGGCGAGTTCCAGGCCAGTCAGGGCTACACAGTGAGATTCTGTCTCAAACAACACAAAACAAAACTCCCAAACCCAACCGTACACACAACCAAACTAAAAACAAAAAACAAACCAACAGGAGCCACGACACACTGATGGGGCAGACTGGAGAATTTAATTATTGGGCTGTATATGGGGAGGGTTGTTGTTCTTTCTGCATCTACTATTAATTTATTTATTTAGAGACTGGTCTCATGTAGCCCAGGCTAGCTGAGGATGACTGTGAGCTGACCTTCCTGACTCCACCTCCCCAGCGCTGGGATGGCTGTCTGTGCTACTGTGGCCTGTGTGTGTGGTGCTGAGGCTGGACTCTAGGGCCTCCTGCTTGTTAGGCAAGTACCCTGTGCAGCCCCAGCCTGATTGATATACATTTTATGGACATTTCTAGGATATACTATTAAATTTCCTAATCGACTCTATTAAACAGTGGTGGACTAGTAGGCATGAAGTCCTTGGCTCTAGCCCTGGCATTACAAAGAGAAGAATGATTTGTTCTAGCCAAGGTGTTTTGTGTGTGTGTATGTGCAAGCATGCACATGTATGCCAAGCAGCACATGTGGAGGTCAGAGGACAACTTTGGGTCGTTAGTCCTTGCCTTCTACCATGTAGGTTCTAGGGATCGAACTCAGGCTGTCAGACTTGGCAGCAAGCACCTTTGTCCACTAAGCCTTCTCACTGGCCCCAGAACCCAGTGTTTTGGAGTCTGTTTTAATTATTAACATTTATTTATTTATTTGGGTTTGGGGCACACACGTGGGTGTGGAGGTCAAAAGACAGCTTGTGGGAACTGGTTCTCTCCTAGGTCTTGAACTCAGATGTCAAGCTCGGCAGGAAGCTCCTTTGCCTGTGGAGTCCTCTTGACAGCCTGAGCCCAGGTTTTGCGTGCAAAAACCCGGGTTTCTCTATGTAGCTCTGGCTGTTCTGGAGGAACTCACAGAGATCCACCTGCCTCTGCCTCCTGAGTGTGGGATCTTTAATCCCATGCCTTTAGCGTGGGCCACCCTGCCTGGCTGTAGCCACCTTTTAGTTTCCTCTTCAGTGAGAACCACACATGTGGTGTGTGTTTCTGTGCGGCTGATTTATAACACCTCCTCTTCCACCCACAAGTACAGTGACAGGGCTTTACTCTGCATGCTGAATAACATTCCGTAAGCATAGAGACCACATTCTCCTCCTCTCTTCTCTTTCCTCTCTCTCTCTCTCTCTCCTTCTCTCTCTCTCTCTCTCTCTCTCATTCATTCATTCATTCATTATTTCTTTCTTTCTTTCTTTTTTTTTTTTTTTGAGACAGGGTCTCACTACGTAGCACTGGTCTAGAGCTCACTAGTCGGCCAGGCTGGCCTGGACACCAGAGATCCTGGTGCCTCTGTCTCTGAGGTGCTGGGATTAAGGGTGTGGAGCCATGCCCGCTTCTTTCTTTTGTGGAGGGCATGCCTAGTCCTCCTGTTCTTAGTGTGTGAGCGGGTGTGAGCAGGTGTGAGGGTGGGTGTGCAGCCTGGTACGCAGTGCAAAGGTCGAGGCTCAGTCCACCTCAGTCCCCTTCACCTTAGTTTTGGAGGCAGGGTTTCTCACTGAATCTGGAGCTCTTGATTCAGCCAGGCTGGCCGGCCGGTGAGCCCAAGGCTCTTCTTGCCTCAGCCTCCCTAGTGCTGGGACACCAAGCACTGCCACTGGCCTTTTCTTCCTCCCTCCCTCCCTTCCTTCCTTCCTTCCTTAGATTTATTTATTATGTATACAATGTTCTGCCTGCAGGCCAGTAGAGGGCACCAGATCTCATTACAGATGGCTGTGAGCCACCACGTGGTTGCTGGGAATTGAACTCAGGACTTCTGTGCAGTCAGTGCTCTTAACCTCTGAGCCATCTCTCCAGCCCCGCCCCTGGCTTTTCCTACGGGTTGGGTTGGGATCTGAACTCAGGTCTCCACGCTTGCCCAGCAAACACTCTACTAACCGAGCCTCCGCCCCAGCTCCCCAGTCCTTTTTTATGTTCAGTCTGAAACAGTTTCCCAGTTTCCCAGGCTGGCCTCGGGCTTACTATACAGCCCAGGCTGGCCTCCTGATTGTATTGCTCCCGTCTCCCCCTCTGGCATGACTGAGATTTCAGGCCTGTACCACCATACCCTAACCCCACCTTTTCTTTATTCATTTATCTGTCAAAAGACACCTCAGTTGACTTCACACACTGGCTGCAATAAATCTGAATGGAACCTGAGGAAACAGCTCAGTTGGCACAGTGCTTGTAACTTAGTTGGTAGAGTACTTGTGGTTTAGTTGATGTAGTACTTATAACTTAGTTGGCACAGTTCTAGTTCATAATTTTGTAGCTAGAATGCCTACCTAGCCTCAAGAAGGCCCTGGGTTCAATGCCCAGCACTGGAAAAACTGGATGAGAGGCAACCCTGTTAATTTCAGAGGAGGAAGCAAGATGACCAGCTTTGGCTACAGTGAATTCCAGGCCAGGCTTGGCTACATGAGACCCTGTTCTCCCCTCCCCAGGACGAAGAGGACCCCAGCAAATGGCTCAGTGGTAAAGGCACTTGCTTCACCAGCCTGACAACCCAGGTTCAGTCATCAGAAGCCACGTGTGGTGGAAGGAGAAACGATCCCCACAAAGCTGTCTTCTGACTCCCTTAATACCCCCACACCACACACACACACACACACACACACACACACACACACACACACGCACGCACACACGCACACGCACACATGTACGCCATAATGAGAAATGTGTTTTAGGACGAGGAATACAGATAAATAGACGCTGAAGTTAGGGACCTCCTTGACACAGCAAGTTATTTTTCGTTGCTCATGTACCCAGTGTGGCACAGTAGGGTCATATGTTGATGCTATTTTTATGTTTTGAGGAA